GCCCAAGGAGAAGGGCGCTCAATGCCCGAACAAGAAAGCGATAACTCAGGTTTGTTAAATTGCTTTGCAAAGTGTTCAGTCCAACGCTGCAAGCGTTTTGACAGGCTGTGGATCGGGTGCCCACTCTCGTCGCGTATGGCCTCGCTAACACCAGGTCTCCTGCTGCCTGTTTCCCGTATCCGACGGAATAACTTACGATGATTACCAACGGCAGCAGCTGTCTCCATTTCCGATGCACGATGAGACCACCAGGTTTCGCGGTCCTTCTTCAGGATAGCACGTAGATTTGCCCTGAGACTTTTGCGAGCCTCATTGTATTCGCTTCCAGCCGGAATACGTCGGCGAGCATCCATAAGTTCCATAGACTGTGTAGAGACCCAATGTCCGATTTGGCAATTTGCTTTGCCACATGAAGACATGCCTGCTAACAGTAACGCTTGACGAATATGCGACCAGTGATCTTCAACGGTGTTTAGTGGGCGCTTACTCAGCTCAGATGTTAGCGCACTTCGGTACACATTCAGAACATCTGGTTTCACTAGCTGGCTGGTGTCAATCCATTCACATCGACGTTGCGGACGTCCACCGAAACGCACCCGGAGGTCGGCACAGACAAATACGTGGTCAGAGTTTACGCTCGTGCTCCAAATTGAGCGACAATTTTGGACACAGCCTCTCCAGCGGTAACTGATCGCGATATGATCGATTTGCGTCCATGGTTGGCCAGAGGCTGGTGGCCGCCAAGTCACGCTTCTGCGGGTGCTGTGTCGAAAGTTAGTGCTCTCGAGAAAGAGGCGAGCGTCATCACACAGCTGTAGCAATCGCTCACCATTATCATTACGCGAGCCTACACTATGTTGGCTGCCCAGATGAAGCTCATCAGAGCACAATTTTCCGACTTGGGCATTTTGATCACCAGCCAACACCACAGTATCCGTGCTTCTCCTGTAACAAAGGAGACCGTGAAGTCGCTGATAAAAATCGTCTTTTACCGGATCAGTGCTATAGTTTGTAAGGGCGTAAGCCGCAATGACAAACAGGTACCGTTTGTCCCCGCGCGACTTCGTAGCACGGAACGAACCAGCTAATCTAACGGCGCACATTCTACTGTTTACTGGGATCCAATCAATCAGGGCAGCTTCAGCCCGGGGACTCAAAACAATGCCGACGCCAGCTTGATCGGCATTTGGAGCTGCATCATCGCCAGACAGGCGCAATGAGAATGTGCCTCCAGTATTGCATGTGGGGGATCTCAGGGTAATCACGGAGTCGGAACCTTGCAGGCGGGTTTCTGATAAACAGCAAATATCGATCGATAGGTTCTCTAGTGTGCGGGCAAGTGCTGCCTGTTGGCCAATCTGCAGCCAAGTGCGCACGTTGAGGCATGCCAGTCTTAGCGAGACGCGAGGACTCCAAAGCGAAACGGATGAACTGACGTTGTCCGCTTGGTTGAACGTGGACTTGTCAACTGGATTGGAGCGAGGCCCTGCGATTGTGTGTGATCTGAAATTAGAAGACAAGCGACTACTGAAGTAAGCTGGGGGAGGGCCAAGAATTGGGGGATTGAAAATGGGGGGATATAAGTCAAGTTGGAGTGGGACGATAAGGATGAAGAAGCGCAAGAAGGGGTATAAGAAGACGGGAAGACCTGAGCAGTGGCATCCATATCCCTATCCACCCTGCTCGATGCAGCAGATAGGGCGCCGTTGATTATCCTCTGCGACGGCCAGAGCATCAAGAAATTGTTGTAGGAAAGTTTCATTGTATTGCGTGGGCAGAATACTGTCAGGTTGCCCAGGCCTAGACAGGAGAACGATTAGGGTTCTCAACCAAAGCCTTCGGTTCAAAAACTTTGCCGCAAGGCAGCGGGTTTTGACACTGGACTACAGAGCCCGTTTTATGAAATGAGGAGCCACTCCCATTCTAACCCCCAACCTGGAGGACCAGGAGGCTGAGTTTGTCTGGCCTCTAACCATTGACCAATCTGGTATGAGTGGCTCTGAAGTTGCAAAAAAAACCACCACCCAGCATAGCTCAATGGATCTCTGCGACACGCAAACCATCGCACCACGGTAAGGTCCAGCCTCATTGCGATGGGGTCCAGCCTCATTGCCCCTCTGCCAAATGTTTCGCCACTCCTTTGAAGTCGTCCGTTTACTCATTGGCCGGAACTAAGGCACAGTGATGCCCAAGTACATGGACGGAGACCATCAAGATCCTGCGAGCTATCGCCCAAGGTACATGATATCCGTCGTCTGCATGATCGTGGAACGAATGCTCAAACGCGCGCTCCAGCTACACTGTGAGAACTACGACGTAATTTCTCCATCCCAACTTGGTTTCCGGAAAACACCTTCCTGCGTTTCCAACTTGCTTATCGCCAGAGATACTTGACCACTAGCCATAGATGCCTGAAAACATATAGGCATGGTCTTCATCGACTTTGACAATGTTCCTCACCAGAGATTGCTGCTCAAACTTCAGGAGATCGTTGTAACGGGCAAAGTTTTCTCCTGATTCGCCGACTTCCTAAGAGACCGCAGACTACGCGTAAAGGTCAATCGAAGCACATCCTCCCATGTGCCAACGACAAGTGGTTTCACTAGGATCCGTGCTTAGACCGGAACTTTTCAGAATGTACATAAATGACCTCCCGGTTACGTTCCAAACCGCCTGCTTGATCTACGCTGATCATCTTAAGCTCTGGTCACTATCCGACCTAGACAATGCCGACAAATTACAAGAGACCCTAGATAGGATACACGGGTGGTCTTCCAAGTGAGGAGTACCACTAACTTGCGATAAATGTGCGGTTCTCCCAATCTGTGACACTGACCGCCTACGGCACATTCCGCATTGGTGGGTTTCCCCTCAAGAAAAGGATCTCGGGGTCATCGTATCCTCTGACCTTAGGACGTCCAAGGTGCGGCGTGAACATTGTTTTTTACCCGGTCGTTCGTGTTCTCACTACGGTTAGTGGGTGGAAGCAATTGTGGGGTTCCGACACAACAGTTTCTCTGGCGACGGAGGTGTTGAATTATCATGGCTATTTCATTCGAGCAGTTGCAGTCCCTCCTTCAGCAGCAGCAGTTTCAGTTTGAAAAGTCACAGCAACAGTTATATGAATTGCTGTCACAGAAGCTCAACATTCAGGTGGAATGGCGGCCGGAACCGGGGAAGACATCACAGGAAATTGCAGATGAATGTCACAGACTACTTAGTTTGAATAGTGATCCAAAAATTGTTGATTTCAGACCCGCGGAAAGTGAACCCCAATTCTGTCCCGCAGATATTACTGACCAAAATATGAATCCAGACGTGCCCAACCAGAAGCCCCCGTCTACGTTTTGGAACAAAGGTGAGAGGCATTCTACGGAAAATTTCGCTCACAAAATGCCTTCTTGTCAAAACATGCACAAATTCATGTGCAAGCATACTCCAAGATTACGCGCAAGTTCCGACTTCCAAAGAAAACGGTTTCGCGGCGAAGTAAGGGAGGCGACGTCTGTAGTATTTAGCACAGACTTTCCAGAGAAGAGAAAATGCCCTACCATGAAAAACAACAGTATTCCGTTATCGCTGCGACCAGAAACGATGCATACTAGAAAGACCATTTCTCCATCAACCCAGCCAGGACTTGGCACATCGGCAGTCAAACAAAAATTTCATGCGGTTCAAAATGTTTTGGAAGCGAAAGGAATTCAGAAGTTCTACTTGCTCAGTAAGCCAACGAATCGTATCATGTCTTGTACTAATGGGGATACACATCCCGAATACTTTTGTTCTGACAACGTACGCGAACGAACGACTTTGCATACTTGGCCTGAACCCGAACTACCTTGGTGTTGGATGCATGTAGACCCAGGCGGATACTCTTGTGTGAAGTTATATTGTCCTCCGTAAACTCACTTTTTAAGGGGGAGAGGTGTTATAGCGGAGGTAAGAATACTCCACCACTCCCCGTGATTTTGTGAGTTTTATTCCATTCACCCCTATTCATCCCGTCCTCTTTTACGGTTCCCCACATACGCTTTCTGTTGCCTCACATTTGTGACTAGCTTGGGTTTTTCCCTTACCCTGTACCTTTCGCTCGTTTGTGAGACATCGTATCGATCCTTCGCCCCTGGAGTGACTAGCTTTGATTGGTCGCTTGTCAGCCTTCCTGCATAGCCTGTGTATATGCCATAATTTGAATCATGCCATTGAGTTGCATACACAGACGTTTGGTGGCCGGTTGGGCGTGCGGCGTGAACATTGTTTTTTACCCGGTCGTTCGTGTTCTCACTACGGTTAGTGGGTGGAAGCAATTGTGGGGTTCCGACACAACACAAGGACACACTATAGGTTACAGCTGCAAAGAGATTTCTAGGTGCCTTGCGAAGGTCGTTGTCCCGAATGACTCCTGAGATCTTCCGACATCTATTCACCACATGCATACGTCCTATACTAAAATATGGGTAGCCAGCCATTTTCCTCTCTTTAAGTTTGAATGCTCTTTGATGGAGTACGTCCAGAGACGTGCCTCGAAAGCTGTGTTCGGGCTCCGCAATATTCCTTTCCCTCTGACTTCACCAATTGAAACTGTTTTCCATGAACTTTCGCCGTCACCGCGGCGATCTCATCTGCACTAGACGCATCTTTGGAGAATTCGGAAACGAGCTACTGCAGTTCTTCCACTCTTAACGCCGACTGATCGACACGAGGTCACAAATGGAAGCTATTCAAACCACCAAAGCCCCACGCTCGCTCAGACCTCACCCTGTCCACCCGGGTGGTGAACGAGTCGAACAGTTGACCCAAGGTAATTGTTGACGCACCTTCGGAGGAATGTTTCAAGTGGCTTTTAGACGCTGGGATCCTGCTTCTCCCACTGCAACTGTGACGAACCCTCGAGGAACGTCGTCAAATCGCGACATGCAGGTATTCCACAATGAATAGGAATCGACGGAGTTGACAAGGGCTCTCCTCTCTGCTCTCTACAACCCAATGAACAATAAAAAAAACTTAATTCTTGACCGGGCGCACGCTTCAATGTTTTTGCCTTTACATCATAGTTGTGGTCGCCTCTGCCGTCGGCAGCAGGCGACATCTGACCACTCGTGCGTTACACCTGAGTACACGTTAGATCGGTTAGAATGCATCCCTCTTTCGCATTTATCGTGATTCTGTTATTTGGCCCATCCATTGCCACGATTTTCTTGTATGGTTTTCTTTTTTACCATATTGTTCCCAACACAGTTTTGCTTTCCGGTAGTTTTTCTTGCACCATAATCGTTCTTTCATTTGTCTGTTGCTCAGCAGTATCTTTTAATATTTCCTCTTCGATGGACTCCGGTGCGTACGAACCACATAACCTTATCGACACGATCAACGATGCTCAACACTTGATTGGTACCTGGTCCGTAGATCTCAAAAGGGATTTATGCGTTTCAGGTACACTTCTCCTTCACAGTTAATTCGTCTAGCTGAACGACTTAATACTCTTACATCCTTATGGTATATGAACGCCGGGCTTATCGCTCCCAAAAGTCTCAAGTCGGATTTCGCTCGTCTTGGAAAACTCATGTGCGACATAAGTTGTCCAGACTGTTCTCTATCACAGTAAGTGAGTACTTCATCTACCGGTCGTTGCAGAATGCAACAGTCCGTTGCGAGTTGTTGTACTACAGTGGAGAAACTCAAACGCGACATCGCTACTTTTGAAGACACTTGCAAAAAATACGAAACACTACAGAAGAGTGCCGACGTATTATATTTTGACCTCACCAAGTAACTTTTCTCCAGATTCTGTACTGTGTTCCCATTCTGCGTCGCTCTCTTGCTTGCTTCTCATCGGTTGTTTGGGTGACATCATTTTTTAACTTGGTTTCCAATTTTTGGCAGCTATTTCTCATACCGCTTAACCCAGTGCACTAATAGTTTTGTCTTTTTATTCTATCCATGGACCTTGGTTAATGGTACACACCACACTGTTAACAAATGTGTATGGTCAGAATTGTAGTGTCCCGTTGCAGCCATGCTTTTTATTTTTAACTGTTATTGTAGCAATGCGATGTCATGTGACATGTTACCACGCGCCCCATCGCCTACTTGGTAACAAATGGAGATAGTGAAACCATTCTAATTAGAGCATAGTCCATTTAGTGTCATAGAAAAGAGGTAAACCGGCCTTAGTTCACTATCACCGATTTCAACCACCTTGAGTTGGATAGTCTCCTATTGCGTTGAGTATCTCGTAAACCTTTTCCTTTCAATCTTCTGAATTCAAAACACTCGTTTCCTTTATATTTTCAAACGGTAACATCACAGAAGATCCTCTGTCTTTCTTGTTTGCTTTTCCATTTTACTTTATGATCTAACGTCGGGCTTCATTCTGGCAAACATGTTTATAATGATCAGGATATTCCATAGTGGACATTCAACAAGCTTGTGGGCGCTGTTTGCATTTAGAGTATAAGTAGTGTCCCGAACTATGCTGTCCTTTCCTCTTCAACTTCGCTGTTGACGTAGTCATGGAAATCGCGTTCACAGGACACGACTTTGAAGGTGTGGATCTGCTCCCAGCAGAACGACTTAGAGTATGCTGGTGATATTGCCCTAATCAGTGATAGCTCACAAGCGTGTCAAGCGGCACTGGACAGATTAGCAATAGCTGTTCGTCATTTCGGGCTTTGCTTTGCACCCTCGAAGTGCAAATCGTTCCTCCAAGATTGGTCTGGACCGCCTCCTACGCTGACCGTTGGTGGGGATCAGCTAGAAGTCGTTCAAAAATTCAACTACCTGGGAAGTTGTATCAGCGCCCGTGGGATTGAGGATGAGATCAAGAACCGTATAGCAAAAGCTCGGGGCGCTTTTGCTAACCTTTGCCACTTATGGCGCCGGCGCGACATCACTTTTGCCCTGAAGGGTAGAGTGTACAATGCAGCGGTGCGTTCGACCCTACTGTACGGTTGTGAAACCTGACCGCTTAAAGCAGCGGACCTGAAGAGGCTAGTTACATTCGACCACTGGTGCCTTCGTAATTTAGCTCACATCTGGTGGGAACACCGCGTGAGCAACGAGCGTGTTCGACGCCTTGTTTACGGCACAGGAAAAGCAAATGAACCGCTCAGCACTGTCATTTTTTGCATCAGACTGCGATGGCTCGGCCACTTGTTACGCATGCCAGCCCACCGACGTCCGCGACGTGCATTGTTTGCGCGCCGGAGGTGTGGATGGAAGAAGAGGAGGGGTGGCCAAGCGATGACCTGGTCGGGAGGAATGAAGGCCCTCACTTCTGAGCTGGCATCGGTTGGAGCGTCTCGGCTCCCTGGTTGGGGTCCGAAAGACGATGAACACGTTTGGCTGGATATACTTGCTGATATGGCAAGGAGCCGACCTCATTGGCGTTCGTGCTGTGAGTTTCTTTGTCCCACCCCATCCATCTTAGCTCCACCTCCAACCACGATCTCATTATTTAGCCTTATATAATTTCGCATAGTATTTTTTTATGCACAGTAGCCGGCTGGTAGCGTACCGGAACGATGCCCATCCGTTAGCGGTAGCTCAGCCGGGTTGCACCAGTTGCATTCTTTTTTCTCTCCTTTTTTCTTTGTATTGCGGCACAATAGCTGGGGTGTTTCTTACCTCTAGCTAACGTGTATGCTGATGATGATGATGTCCGCTACATACATATTCTATACTAATCTTTGAGGGCTTTGACGTCAATGCTCGGGCAACTCCCACTTTGGTCATCGTTCATTGTCAATTGATTTGCTTCATCTCTTTCACTATTTAGAAAAAAGTAAATTGAGCTGCTCTCCACCGTTACATTGGTACTTAACTTCATATCTGCTTCTCTCAAACTCCTCAGGAGCCCCATCGCTTAGTGTCCTTTAGCAGCATTGCGGGAGTCGCCAACTACACTACCACTGAGCTTGTATCACTCCTGTTCACCTCAATACACTACCCCATGTTCACCTGACGTCTGAAATGCTTATCTGGTCGCGTTGCCATTGGTTGTATTCAAAGTAGCCTCCAGAAACTGCTAAGATAACAGACTACCTTTGCGCGCGCGCGCTGGAAATACTGGGTGTTAACATAGTTTGTCGCTCTGAAATTACAATCCATGGCGCATATGGTTAGTGAGCTAAATCTGCTGCATGTTATTGATTTCGTGTTTCTGTAGACGCTGATGCAGCGACCACAAATCAAGTTTCATCATCATCATCATCATTACACGTTAGCTGGAGGTGGAAAACACCTCAGCTATTGTGCCGCAATACAAAAGGCAAGAAAAAGAAAAAAACAAACAAACAGTGGCACGCCCGCTGAGTCCCCAGTAACGGATGGACATCGTTCCGGAGAGCTAACAGCTGGCTGCCGTAAAAGAAAGTCATATTATGCCAAACGATTGAGATCGTGATTGGAGGGGGATGCTAAACAGGAGGGGGATGGACAAAGGAACTCACAACACAAACGCTATTGGGGCCGGCACCTAGCCATATCAGCAAGTGTGTCCAACCAAACGTGTTCACCGTCCTTAGGACCCCAACCAGGCAATCGGGATGCACCAACCGACGCCAACTTCGAAGTGAGGGTTTTCATTTCTCTCGACCAAGTCATCACTTGGCCTCCCCTCCTCCTCTTCCAACCGCACCCACAACGCGTAAACAAAGCACGTCGTGGGAGTCGGTGTGCTGGCATGCGCAACACGTGGCCCAGCCATCGGAGCCTGGTGCGTGATATAATCGTGCTGAGCGGTGGGCATCGTCTTATTCTCCAGGTGTGTTCCTCATCTGTTGCTTAAATTTCCCTGTTTATCCACCTCTGCACAACGCGATATCAAACCCGACCGAGATAAACGCACGAACGACTAATAGACACTGCTTTTCCATGTTTGCAACTTGTGCCACAAACGACTGATAATCTTATGCTGGCCGAAGGAATCCTACACGCTATTGCGCCGTGCTGGCTGCTTTGTTATGTCTTCAGTACTCAAATGTATTGTGTACTCTCCTGGGATAGTCGGGAACGTGAAATATGGGAGCGTAAATGTGGACGCATGAGGCAATGGTGGTCATTGATCGCAATCTTGCGTCGACACTTGTCAGCCTGTTCTAATCAGCCTTCACGCGCATTAGACAACAATGTGTTATTTGACATCATCCACCAACCTACCAGCGATGAACGAAAATCGACCACATTGTGGTAACCTTTAGTTGATATGGGTTTGTCACCTACCGATCCTTTTTGGTGCAGGTGCATCGACGCTGGTGATACTCTGGTCCAGTAGCGCTTTATTCAGCTACTTGCTAGGATGAGCAGCAAAAGATCTCAACTTGGAATCGAGAACCTGCCTTAGCCTGTAATTATGCGAACACGCCAGAATGCTCTGCGCACCAAACTTTCGGCCGCTTTCTTTTGGGACATCAAGTTTCGGTGTGGTGTGCTTTCCTCTATCACCCACAATGCGGGGCTCTTGTTTGCGCTCCACTCGTCGTCAGTGATCGCACACCATATATCCGATGGGTCAATTAATGTAGTGGGATTCTGAAAAGCCCTTACTGATACCCAGCCCAATGCAGTTGAACGAATTGTCAAATGGGAGTTAAAGCGGAGCCTATTAACGACAATGCTTAGTCACCTAAATAGCTCGTTAAAACCCCAGACCATCCCGCGTCACTAGTCCCAGGTAACACTCCATGTTTGGAACAATAAGGAACGGCGACGGCACTTACATATTCCATGAGTAGTTTCGTTGCACCCAATAAAAATTCAGAACAACTGTATGGTAATAGCAAACTTTAGTAGCAAGTTCAAAAGGGATACACTAAACTCAGCACATGTGAGCAAGTAAAAACTCTAAAGCGTGAGTCACATGAACGCGCGAGCGCTTCCAATTTCGAATTGTCTCAATAGCAAACGCTTATGGGTTAATACACAAACACGCACGCATTCACATACAAACGCAGCATCAGTAGACCTTCTGGCCAGATAGAGGTGGATGGACTTGGCATGAATATTGACTGTATCGGTTTAGCTAATCTAATCTTTGAACAAATCAAACCTTGGTTGGTTGCCTCATTAGCTTTCCATCGCAATGAGGCTGGACCTTACCGTGGTTCAATGGCTTGCGTGCCTCAGTGATCCATTGAGTTATGCTGGATGGTGCTTTTGCACCTTCATAGTAACTCATACCACATTGGTCAATGGCTAGAGACCAGACAAACTCAGCCTCCTGGTCCTCCAGGTTGGGAGTTGGAATGAGGGTGGCACCTTATTCCTTTAAACGGACTCCTTGTAGCCCAACGCCAAACCCGCTACCTAATCGTTCTGTCTAGGTCTGGACAACCTGACAGTATTTTGCCCACACAATACCATGAATCTCTTCGAACAACTTTTTGATGCTCTGGCCACCGCAGAGGATAATCAACGGTGCCCTATCTGATGCATCGAGCAGGGTGGGTAGGGGTTTGGATGCTACTGCTCAAGCCTTCCCGTCTTCTTATTCCCCCTCTTATGCTTTTTCACTCTTACCGTCCAGTTCCAACTTCACTTTTATCCCCCCAGTTTTCAATCCCTCAATCCTTGGCCCTCCCCTAACATGCTTTGCTAGGCGTTTATCTTCTAATTTCAACTTACATGTGTACGCGGGGTGTCGCTCCTCTCCTGTCGACAAGCCCATGTCCAACCAAGCGGTCCACTCCAATTCATCGGCTTCCATTTTTAGCCCTCGATCATCCTTCAGGTTGGCATGTCTCAATGTACACACATTGCTACAGATCGGT